GATTACCTAATAAGGAAATGTTTCATGGTGACTTGCAACGTGCGAATGGAAAATATTTTGTAATCACGCAAAGACAATGGTAAGCAAACAAGAAAATGCATGATCAATGGGCAACTAACGATATCTTTATCCAAATACACAAGTTAAAAGCTCATTTTGTAAATTTTGGGCTTTAAAAAAACGTCCTCTTTGCTCGGCCTGGGAGTTAATGAGCTACGTGGTCACGTGGTCTGATGACGACATTGGTGCCACCGGAGGAGAGAGAGCCGTCAAACTGAGCTGCATTGTCTACCTGTAAGATGACTTTTCTGACTTCTGTTAAAAGTTCATACTCATATTAAATCTCTTACCCGAGGGATCTTACCCGTGAAGCTGAGTGAAGCCATTTTCTCGTCTATTCACTTCTTTAACTAGCATTTAATTATGGTTATCCCAACTGGTGTAAAATACTGCATTTGAATGACTTGAGGGTTCTTTTGATCATTCGATATGAGGTCCATGTTATTTGTGAAATTCAATTCAATTTATTAAACCCTTGCGCCCTACGGCTTATCAGAATGAAATGCAATAAAAATATGAAGTCATACGAGAAGTTTACAACTTCTAGAGTCATAAAAACAACAATACAGCTACTAGTAGTAATGATAAAAAGTCATCAGACTGACGTTAATCTAAGCTCCGATGAACATTTTAAGTACTTTCATAAGTTGTTTAATTGTGAAACATTGTTAAGTGATAACAATTTAATTAGCTTGAAAACATTTTACTTTGTATTATAAATTTCTTGATGTGCTTCTGCCTAAACGTTCTGTAGCAAAGACATTTTTAAATTCTTAAAAGAATCAAATGAAATTCATCCTCGATGTCATCTAAAATACATAGTTTACCGGTTCTTAATTTTTATTTGTCTGTTTACCTTCCAGTTTCTACAGCTAGAATATGTGATGAAAGTCTAAATTTGGCAATTAATTCCTTATATTTCTGTGAAATTGGCTTATCTAAATAGAATAGCACTGTAAAATTATCAACAAAATGTTGGTACAATAGCCCTTTACTCCTTGTGGATATTTCCCCGGTCAATGTTTGACTAAAATTATCTTTCAATATTTACTCTATCAAGGACAATATGAAATTATCTGACATGTTTTCGTGAAAAATTAATGACAAGTCAAGTGTCTCCAGTTCATTCCGTACTCAAATTACCCAATCAATTTTTTTGTTCAGTAGATCTTTATAGCACGCTGTTATAAAACAATTTTTCGAAGAACGGATTTAAATCAATATTAAAAAATCGTAGCTATGTACTTAAAAGAAGTGGGTATCTCCCGGTTTCATAATGTACTAAGTTACGTACATGTACAATGAACTAAGTTATCACTAGTTCTCCTTTTTACACCCAACATTCTTTTAAAAAATTCGTATGTGCCCTTCTTATATCCCTTTAAGGTAATACCATGTTAAATCTCCATACATAATTTAAAATATACTAACGTACGTATCAAATACTGCACATTTAGTGAACACATTAAAGTTATGATTTTTTGAACATGCCACTAACATCAAACAATGCTTTTTTTTACCTTGGTCTGCTATATGTTTTTGGGGTTTGACAAAACACAAATTTGCAAAAAGTTTTGCGTGCAGACGCAGAACTTGCGCTTCAAATTATAAAATGACAAATCTTTTAAATTATTTAATATTTCAGATGAAATACCCTTCAGAAACAAATTCTCAAAGCAAAAAACACTTTATTTCTTTAAACGCATTAGGATTACGAACCTTTTTATTACAGATGTTCTTTTTTCTTTAATATTACTGCTCTTTTTCGAGTTTTTCCTCAACCACGTTTTCTTCCACAGAAGTAATGCCTGGGCATACGCATGCTTCAGGATACCCTGAGAGCAATCACTTTCATTAATGTTCGCGACCGTGTTTGAACTCAATTGTTTAAATATCGATATTAAACGTCATTTAAAAATACCAATAATATCACCCCATGAAATAAAAGAGATCTATTGAAAAAATATTAAAGCCCACCAATAATCTGACAAGTTGAGTTACCTGTTATTACCTAGCTTGGGAAGTGCAGCGGTGCGTAATTAACAGGGTTTATTGTTAACGAGCTCTTGGTCAACTACCATGCATTTAATATGCATCAGCAATTAGTAAGCTTGTCAACTGGTGACGGTTAATTTGAAAGACTGTCAGCTTTTGATATCATATGATCTAAACCACTTGAGGCGACCATAATCGCGAGCATTACATCACCGAAGTAAATAAGTCCCGGAAGACCGTCACAGACAAAGAAAGAAGATTGTCAACGAGTGCTGATATTTTGGTGAATCCCACGGCAACACAATGAAGCATAACGAAAATTGTCCAACCCATTTCAACTCGACTTTCCTAAACTTCTCTGTCTGTATACAGCATGCAGCTCAGCTGAGTCTCAAAGACCTTTATCGTCTTTGTCGTCAAAGTACCACGTGACCCAGATCTGTTGCTTCATTTTTGCATATTGAGGTGAGGTTTACTAAAACGCTTTTTTTCTACCAATAGATTGTTTTTATACTTTTTAAAAGGTGGGGATCGTTTAAAAAATCTCTAGTGTATGGATCAAGTGCTGAATCTTCAAAATTCGAGAAATGGATTATTACGTGGCTAGAATCCTTTAAATAGGGCCTACTTGTGAAATTGTGTGAAAAGGCAGTCGGTGAATAAACGTTCGAAAGCTCCAGATTGCTGTCGTATTCTTCACTATAAAAGGTGGTGGAGGAAGCGGGCAACGATCCCGCTACCTCGCGCTACCTCCCTATCCTTTTACTCTTTTGATTCCGTTTTAATTGTTATCTGTAATTAGTGAAAGTGTAAGTCATTCGCTTTACAACATACACCCCTTCTTCAAAAGAATTCGTCCTCTAATTCTAAAACTTTACAACAATACTTGTTAGTATAAAAGATTTTGACGACGGACAGTCCTCAGTTTTGGCACAGTGTACTTATAAACCCGCGCAAAGTATAGTAACTTTCATTTATGTCTGGTAGCAAATGATGGATTTTATGTCCTTCGGAGTACATGTTATGCAATAATGTTTTAGATAGTTCCGTGAATGATCCGTTGTTATTCACCTGTGCATTAACGTGGCTTAATCGTTTCCCACCTCATTATATATTTACTATAGTGAGGATATTTCTACGTAAAATCCAAGTGTTAATACAGACATTTTAATTGATAATTTTGATAGAGAATTAGCGTCAAATTACAGTTCGACGCTTGGATGAAACTACCGTGGATGGGCTGTCGTTATTCAGCTGTTGGCCTACTACATGTATTATTGTATTGATTTTACTGGCTAGTGTGTTGATATGGCCACCTGAGAGAAATCGTAGTGGAGGTGAACAACTATAAGATATTAATATTTCTAAAGATTATGTTTGAATATGCAGTATGTTCTCAACAGTGTATATTTATTAAAGTCTATAGTGTAGCGCCTTTTTGGGAGTGTGTAGAAAAATCACCTGACAGACCAGGGACCAAACTCGCTAACAGGGCGAGTGCTCTACCGCCTGAGCTATCCGACCGGTTCTACCCTGCATTTGGCACTACACTAGAGACGGACCGTACACGCCGGAAGTCTCTCAGATTTGCTTGCGCTTTGTGCGCATGAACAAAACGGATGGTTCACGCTCCGAACAATTGATGCCACACTGGTACATACTGGGGCGACTAGGTACCCTGCTAGGTCATGTAGGATCCAGTTGGGGATTTCGTCGGGACCTGTAGACTTGTGCACGTTTACTTGGAGCAAGGCTTTTTCGACATCTTCTTTTGTGATGATATATGTGGCTGGTACAGGGTTTGCTGTTTCTACGTGTTTCGGTTCAAGTGGCACAAAGTCATTTGTGACAGATTGTAAGAAAGCGTTTATTTTCTGGGCTAATAATTAAGCTGAAATCACCATTGCACTCACTGTTATAATCATGATCATAATGTTGACTTTCATTAGTACTCCTGACACTGTGTGCACAATTATTTCCTCTGTCCTGGATTATAAGTTAGCCAGAGCCTACCTTTAAACCCAATTTTACTACAGTTCCGGTCAACCCGTTTCCCTTCCTCACTTAGATTTCATTTTTGCCGCGCTATGCACCGACGAAATATTTCAAGTTCAACGATGTCATTTTTTCTAAACAAAAGACTTTAACCATGAGTACAATACTGATAACAACTGATAATGAAGAAACAGGGCATCAAGTCCTTAAAAAACGCAAAAAGCAGGAGCACATGTGTTGCGGTCATTTTGTCATGTAAGGATATTAAACACGAAAACGAAAACGAAACTATCAGTTACGTCATACAGGAATCCCCCAACCTCAGCCAGTCATAAAATAGTATTTGTAAGTGAAACTGAGGTCAGTAAATTATGTATTAATAATTAGCTGGGAACTCCCCGGGATTTTTGAAGGCAGTAAAATATATCGTCAAGAAAAGAAACAACAATGTATTCCTTAGATTTACACATTCCGAGTCAGCTTGAAAGCTCGCCGGATATAAGGACCGACCATACAGGATTTTTTATTAGACCTAGACGAAATTTGTCAGGCATGTCCGACGGTCCGACGCCTTTCGTAAAGTCTGCGTTTATGTCATAATCACACCTCATCCTTGCATTTGATTATATTAATGGCTCATTTTGTATGTAATTTAGCATTAGTAAATAACTTAATTGATATGGTATTATATTTTGTTTATAGTTTATACCCCAGAACCAAACTTTCTTGTGAATGAGTTAAGGAAATTATCAATATTCCATGACCAGGAGTACGTAGTTAAACACAGTACCCCAGAACCAAACTTTCTTGTGAATGAGTTACGGAAATTATCAATATCCCATGACCAGGAGGGGATGAATTCACCATTGTGTATGCCGTGAGTAATCCAATTCAGCAGTAATTATGACGTGCCCCGGTCAGGTTACATTTAAAACATTTAAAGAAAATATAGTGGCTCATTTATGTGACCCATCTGTTTTATTTCCAAGGTTTAAATTGGAATCAAGCATTTAATCAAGAATTATAAAAAAAACATTCAATTTGACTCCATGACAGTATTCACTTTTCAAAGTTAAAAAAGAGACAATCTATCTTTTAACACGTTTTGCGAAAATAGATCATAGTTATGAAGAGTATCATTTAAGGCATTATACACACTATATAAACAAAACATAAAGCAAAATAAATAATCTGCATAATCTATTTTTCAGTTTAAGCAAGGAAAAGGCATATGTGGTATACTGTGTGTATGAGTATGAGCCCCTGCTGGATTCTTGCAATATGACCATGGATGACTGGGCTAGGATTGCCTCAGACATTAAGGTAAATCTCAGAGTCCAGTGCACCTGCTTCTTTTTGAGTCCTTTCAGTGTTAGAAAAAGTGACATTTTTAATACATTTTTTTCTGTAAAGTTAGCATGATATTTTTTTTCATTCAGACTTACTATGAGGGTTTTGATGGGTTTGTTATACTTCATGGGACAGATACTATGGCCTACACTGCATCAGCTTTGTCTTTCATGTTTGAGAATCTGGGAAAACCTATCATTCTTACTGGCTCACAGGTAAGTTTTGTTCTCATTATTAAGGCATTAAAATATTTAAAGATGATATGTGTGAACTCACATTAGAACATGATAAAAATGACCCTTCCCCACACGTGTGCACAAATAATGTACACTTCATAGATATCATCACCTTACATGAAAGGCTGTACTCTTGATGTCAGAAACAGTAAAGTTCTAGATATGTTGTAGATACTAGATCATACTAACAGTATAATTACTGATGAAAACAAACCCGCCATTTGGTTAAATTGTGCAGAATATCAGTTACTACATAAGTTGGTAATTCTAGATATGGGATTTTTATCCTTGAATAATTATGCTTTTTAGTGTGAGAAAATTAAGCAGGGACATTTTCAAACATTTCTTATATAGTGTACAAAAGCAACAAATATGTATTACATTAAACAAGATGAATTGCCATTAAGAGTTTAACATTTTTTTTACATGTTTTGAAATATATGCATGACATGGATCTAAATTTTCAGCATGTGGCTTACTACCAAATGCTGTTTGCTTATTTATTCAGATCCCTATCTTTGAGACTCGTAGTGACGGCAGAGATAATCTTCTTGGTGCTCTCATTATGGCTGGAAACTCCAAAATTCCAGAGGTAACACATTCCCAGTGTGTGTGTGTGTGTAATGAACCTTTTACATATACATATAAGATGAGTGTCCTAAACTTATATAATTTAGTATGCTTAGTTCAAGCGTGGGCTCGAAATAGGACATTATGTCTAACTTAGTGGATAACGCAATCCAAAGATTCCACGGTTCATGTCAGATTTACGTAAGGTCGCGCAAAGAAAACCCAAGTCCACATAATGACCAGTTAAATGATTTATTCATTGACGCTCGGTTAATACATGTTCTATGTAAAGTCTCCAACTCCTAGCTCTCTTAACCACTCTGCTCCATACTCCATAGCTCCCAACCTCCGTCTCTCCTCGCTGTCCTCCTCCACATGTCTCCCCATACGTGTCTCCAGGTATCGCTTATATACTTATTTCTTATCTACATGTATGGTCGATGACGCAAACTTTAACTACCTATAATTGTATAATTAATTTCTTTACCTCGGCGTTATACACAGAGACCGCTGCATTACTCAAAAGCTATTGGACTACAACAAATTACGTCATATGACTTACAAAGATATTTATGTCAGACATGGCATGTGTGTGTGTGTGTGTGTGTGTGTGTGTGTGTATTCTGCACAAAGTCTTTTAATTCGTTAAAAAAGCACCTATAAGTTAAGTTTCACATTCAGTATAATTTACACTTAAAAGGGATAATGTCAGTATGAGATTGCAAATATTGATCTTTTTCATTAAGCAGCTTTTAAACCATTTAATTTACTATATTGAAATGAATGAAAACCAAAGTTTCTTTATGAACAAAGTACTTTATCCACATCTTGATTCTATATAGTATTTTTTAATTTCTAGGTAATGATATTATTCAACAATAAGCTTCTTCGGGGAAACCGTTCAACCAAATTTAATAGTAGCAGTTTTGATGCATTCCATTCCCCAAACTTTCCTCCCCTTGCTGTTTTAGAGACTGAGATTCATGGTATGATATTTAAAACTTAAAAAATGTGTATTTCAAAGTATAAAAGTGAAAAGCATTTCTTCAAATTTCATTTTAATAATAAATTGTTTATAACAAGTTTGGCGCTCGATTTCTATCTCAGTTACCGGTACAATGTCCTACAGTAGATTGACTTTCTATTTAAGGTTTGTACCCCATGATATGATTCATATGGTCCAATATATATTTCAAGTTTCCCTTGATTTTATATGTTTACTGTTTATTCACAGTGCATAGGGATAAGATTTTTCCCAGCAACACCACTCAAGAATGTACCCTGTATACTGACCTTTGTCCTAGCGTGGGAATACTCCGTCTTTTCCCCACTATCACCACTGCTATGGTTAGTTGAATAAGTTGTTTTTAGGCAGGTTTAAAAGTATAAATATTCTATTGGGTTAAGATCATGAAAAAAATACTGAAAATGAATCAAATAGTGAATATCCACTGTATTTCATTTTTAAAATTATATGGACGATAAAAAAAGATATTCACTAAATGTTAACATATGGAGGTCATTATTCATGTATGGCCAATTCATGAAAGCCAAATCGATGCTATAGGCCCAAAGATGTCCAGTGTCATAGTAAATTTTCAGATTTTGATAAGAATTTTGATTATTTTTATTGATAAAGTTTAAATTAAAATTATTATTATTATTATTATTATTATTATTATAGGTTCGCCAGTTTTTGGCACCTCCACTCAAGGGAATGGTCCTGGAATCCTACGGGGCTGGAAATGCTCCAGATTCCAGAGAGGACTTAATGCAAGTGTTCTCAGAGGCCAGGGAAAGAGGAGTGCTGCTGCTTAACATCACCCAGTGTCACAGAGGGTCTGTTAGCCCAGGTTATGCCACAGGACAGGTTTGCTAATAACCAAGAGAAATACTCTTGAAAATGCTTTATTTATTAATTAATTTTTTTTACACCCGTACAGCTTGTGGCTTAGTTAAAGGGATAATAACTCTTTATTTTGGCCAAAAAATTAATTTTCCTGGGGTAAACAACAATTTTCCCATATTTACCAATGGTTAACGAATCCATTTTTACATTCAAAGTTAGTCCCTGGTTTTTTTTTCTAAAAAGTTTTTTTGCTATAATCTCCTAAGAGATTATAACAGAGTATAGCCATAAATGGAGGTTACATGGTCTAAAGACAAGCTTAGATATCAGAATAATACTATAACTGCCGTTTTTGTGGTAAAACAGAATATATTATATTTCTTTGAGTGGTTCACAATGTTTTTATTGTGAAATATAGATCTCACACGAAGAGTTATTATCCCTTCAAGTGTGGTAAAATGTCCTACTTATGTATTTTGAGAATACCCAATTCTATTGCAAAAATCAAAGGAAAACAATTGTTTTAGATTTTATCAGTTAATGACTTTTTACTTTGCATATATGCCTAATACAGTAATAGATTTGTTAGTTATTGACCTGTGATTTGTATTTTATATTTCCAGGCTTTGACTGTAGCAGGTGTGATCCCAGGCTCCGACATGACACCTGAGGCAGCACTGACCAAGCTGGCCTTTGTAATAGGAAGAGAAGATTGGAGTTCTGAGGACAAGAAGAAGGTAAGGAGAATGTATTTTATTATTATTATTATTATTATTATTATTATTTATTTTATGATATAAAAGACTTTATAAAATTTTAATTGTGAGTCTGCTAAAGGAAGAAAGGGTTTTAAGGGGCATCCCTGTTGTCATAGCAACAACTATTCCAGTTTGATTGAGAGTATTTGTACAGTGAGGATGAGCATTCAGGGAATCTTTTTGAAAGGTGAAGCAATGCCTTTATTTGGTAGAACATATAAAAATATAGAACAAAAGGCTTTATCAAGATACTCCTAGCCAGGAAGGGTTGTCGCAAGGAGTACGTACAATGGGAGACTACGGCATATTATATATTTTGAGTAATGTCTATATTGTGATGGTACATTTAGAGTTTGTTTGTTTTTTTTATTTTTAGAAGTTATCCCAGAACCTCCGTGGTGAATTGGGTGGGTTTATGTGGTACTAATCTAAGCCAGGACAACTATGACAAAAGAACTGCACTACATGTTGTAAGGAAAACCAGACCATACTGTTAAAAACTCTTAATATATACTTTTCTTCACTGTGTTCGTAAACATGGACACTGAGACCAGCAACCCTTTTGATGTCCATTTTGACTGTTTGTCATATGACATTTGATTTTTTAAAAACAATTATTGGGTAATTTTTTGGGGTGGGGCAGCTTCTCTTGGACATCAGGATTTAGCGGAGTTTTTGTTATAACAAGGGGTGAGTGTCACGGCAGAAGATAGGTTTGGATATACTCCTCTCAAGGAGGCAACTACTAAAGGACACAGAAAAATCTCCAAGCTGATCCTTGACGCTGTGAAGCCAATTGTTAGCACAAGCACTTCCACTGACACTTAACTTATTTATTGTCCTGTATGAATATAATATGAAATATGAAAATACCTAATTGTGCACTGTATTTTAATTATATGCGCTGTTTTGGTGTTTTGACTATTTGATGAAAGTGGACTTTTTTTCTTATCTGATATATGTTTAAAGTACACTGCATGTTTAAGAGTTTTCCATAGTGATACTTACTATGCCTACAGGCCCTGTAAAGCTAATGCTTTTTCTCAATTCAGACCTTAAAAACTGAAATATACGGGAAGACACAGTCTTCTAAATGACTGGCTGGTCATTTAGAACTACAACAATTAATCAAAATGGAATATAAAAACCAAGTGCAGGGAAACCAAGCAATGATTCTTACATAGGACAAAATCCCCCCTCAAGGAAAATTCATTTTGAATGGTAAAACTCGTATAGAGCGCCTTTAATATCATCTTGTCAAGTTGGAAAAGCACATGTATATCATTTCTATTATGACGGTGTAGCATCTTTTATATACCAGACTGTTTTGTGTAAGTGTGATCAAAAATTGAACATTCATAATATGATTGTATCATACTGATGTGATGAGAAATAATCTCAAGAATGATAATTATCAGTGCAATTCAACATATACCTCAAACTACTCCAATTCCATTTTTAAATCTTTTTGCAAATTATATGTTTAAGTAAATGTATGAGCATAAAAAAGTATCTTTTATTTAATTTGACTTTCTTGAGGTACGNTGTTCGACGGTCCGACGCCTTTCGTAAAGTCTGCGTTTATGTCATAATCACACCTCATCCTTGCATTTGATTATATTAATGGCTCATTTTGTATGTAATTTAGCATTAGTAAATAACTTAATTGATATGGTATTATATTTTGTTTATAGTTTATACCCCAGAACCAAACTTTCTTGTGAATGAGTTAAGGAAATTATCAATATTCCATGACCAGGAGTACTTAGATAACCACAGTATCTGTTTTGGAGGTCAAACACCAACCCCATGGATGCAGTCACCATTGTGTATGCTGTGAGTAATTTATTTCAGCAGTAATTATGATGTGCCCCGGTAAAGTTACATTCAAAACCTTTAAAGATTTAGGAAAATATAAAGGCTCATTTATAAAAAGTGTTTTATTTCCAAGATTTGGAATCAAGCATTTAATCAAGAATTATAAAAAAATATATTTATTCAATTTGACCCCATGACAGTATTCACCTTTTCAACGTTAAATAGAGACAAACCATCTTTTAACACGTTTTGCGAAAATAGATTATAGTTATGTAGAGTATCAATTGAGGCATTATACACACTATATAAACAAAACATAAAGCAAAATAAATAATCTGCATAATATATTTTTCAGTTTAAGCAAGGAAAAGGCATATGTGATATACTGTGTGTATGAGTATGAGACCCTGCTGGATTCCTGCAATATGAACATGGATGACTGGGCTAGGATTGCCTCAGACATTAAGGTAAATCTCAGAGTCCAGTGCACCTGCTTCTTTTTGAGTCCTTTCAGTGTTAGAAAAAGTGACAGTTTTTTATACATTTTTTTTATTCTGTAAAGTTAGCATGACAGTTTTTTTTTTCATTCAGACTTACTATGAGGATTTTGATGGGTTTGTTATACTTCATGGGACAGATACTATGGCCTACACAGCATCAGGTTTGTCTTTCATGTTTGAGAACCTGGGAAAACCTGTCATTCTTACTGGCTCACAGGTAAGTTTTATTCTCATTATTAAGGCATTAAAAATATTTAAAGATGATATTTGTGAACTCACATTAGAACATGATAGAAATGACCCTTCCCCACACGTGAGCTCAAATAATGTACACTTTATAGATATCATCACCTTACATGAAAGGCTGTACTCTTGATGTCAGAAACAGTACACTTCTAGATATGTCATACTAGAGCATACTAACAGTATAATTACTGATGAAAACAAACCCTCCATTTGGTTAAATTGTGCAGAATATCAGTCACTACATAAGTTGGTATTTCTAGATGTTGGATTTTTATCCTTGAATAACTGCTTTTTAGTGTGAGAAAATTATGCAGGGACATTTTCAAACATTTCTTATATAGTGTACACAAAAAAAAACAAACATATATTACATTAAACAAGACGAATTGCCATTAAAAGTTTTAAATTTTCAGCATGTGGCTTACTACCAAATGCTGTTTGCTTATTTATTCAGATTCCCATCTTTGAGACTCGTAGTGACGGCAGAGATAATCTTCTTGGTGCTCTCATTATGGCTGGAAACTACAAAATTCCAGAGGTAACACATTCCCAGTGTGTGTGTGTGTGTGTGTGTGTGTGTGTATTCTGCACAAAGTCTTTTTATTGGTAAAAAAGCACCTATAAGTTAAGTTTCACATTCAGTATAATTTACACTTAAAAGGTATAAAGTCAGTATGAGATTGCAAATATTGATCCTTTTCATTAAGCAGCTTTTAAAGCATTTAATTTACTACATTGAAATGAATGAAAACCAAAGTTTCTTTGTGAACAAAGAACATACTTTATCCAGATCTTGATTCTATGGAGTTTTTTTTAATTTCTAGGTAATGATTTTATTCAACAATAAGCTTCTTCGAGGGAACCGTTCAACCAAATTTAGTAGCAGCAGTTTTGATGCATTCGATTCCCCAAACTTTCCTCCCCTTGCTATTTTAGAGACTAAGATTCATGGTATGATATTTAAAACTTATAAAAATGTGTATTTCAGAGTATTAAAGTGAAAAGCATTTTTTCAAATTTCATTTTAATAATAAATTGTTTATAACAACTTTGGCTCTTTTCCTAGATTGACTTTCTGTTTAAGGTTTGTACCCCATGATATGATTCATATGGTCCAATTATATATATATTACAAGTTTCCCTTGATTTTATATGTTTACTGTTTATTCACAGTGCATTGGGATAAGATTCTTACCAGCAACACCAATCAAAAATGTACCTTGACTAAGATTTGTCCTAGCGTGGGAATACTCCCTCTTTGTCCCAGTATCACCACCGCTACGGTTAGTTGAATAAGTTGTTTTTAGGCAGGTTTGAAAGTTTAAATATTCTATTGGGTTAAGATCATGAAAAAATACTGAAAATTAATCAAATAGTGAATATCCACTGTATTTTATATTTAAAATTATATGGACAATAAAAAAAGATATTCACTAAATGTTAACTTATGGAGGTCATTATTCATGTCTGGCCAATTCATGAGAGCCAAATCTATGCTATAGGCCCAAAGATGTCCAGTGTCATAGTAACTTTTCAGATTTTGATCAAGATTTTGAGTATTTTTATTGATAAAGTTTATTATTATTATTATTATAGGTTCGCCAGTTTTTGGCACCTCCACTCAAGGGAATGGTCCTGGAATCCTACGGGGCTGGAAATGCTCCAGATTCCAGAAAGGACTTAATGCAAGTGTTCTCAGAGGCCACGGAAAGAGGAGTACTGCTGCTTAACATCACCCAGTGTCACAGAGGCTCTGTTAACTCAGATTATGCCACAGGAAAGGTTTGCTAATAACCAAGAGAAATACTCTTGAAAATGCTTCTTTTTTTTTTTTTTAACACCCATACAGCTTGTGGCTTAGTGTGGTAAAATGTCCTACTATTGTATTTTGAGAATGCCCAATTCTATCACAAAAATCAAAGGAAAACTATTGTTTTAGATTTTATCAGTTAACAACTTTTTACTTTGCATATATGCCTAATACTGTAATAGATTTGTTAGTTACTGACCTGTGATTTGTATTTTATATTTCCAGGCTTTGATTGATGCAGGTGTGATCCCAGGCTCCGACATGACACCTGAGGCTGCACTGGCCAAGCTGGCCTTTGTAATAGGAAGAGAAGACTGGAATTTCAAGGACAAGAAGGGGGTAAGAGGAATGTATTATACTATTATTATTATTATTTAAAAGACTTATTATATAAAAGACTTTATAAAATTTTAATTGTGAGTCAGATATTATTGCATCTGCTAAAGGAAGAAAGGGTTTAAAGGGGAATCCCTGTTGTCATAGCAACAACTATTCCAGTTTGATTGAGAGTTTTTGTACAGTGAGAATGAGCATTCAGGGGATCTTTTTGAAAGGTGAAGAAATGCCTTTATTTGGTAGAACATATAAAAATATAGAACAAAAGGCTTTATCAAGATACTCCTAGCCAGGAAGGGTTGTCGCAAGGAGTACGTACAATGGGAGACTACGGCATATTATATATTTTGAGTAATGTCTATATTGTGATGGTACATTTAGAGTTTGTTTGTTTGTTTTTTGGTTTTTTAGAAGTTATCTGAGAACCTCCGTGGTGAATTGGGTGGGTTTATGTGGTACTAATCTAAGCCAGGGCAACTATGACAGAAGAACTGCACTACATGTTGTAAGGAAAACCAGACCGTACTGTTAAAAACTCTTAATATATACTGGTATACTTTTCTTCACTGTGTAACTAAGTGAACATGGACACTGAGACCAGCAACCCTTTCTATGTCCATTTTGATTTTTTGACATATATGACATTTGATTTTTTAAAAACAATTATTGGGTAATTTTTTGGGGTGGGGGGGGGCAGCTTCTCATGGACGTCACGATTCAGCGGAGTTTCTGTTAGAACAAGGGGTGAGTGTCACGGCAGAAGATAGTTTTGGATATACTCCACTCAAGGGGGCAACTGCTAAAGGACACAGAGAAATCTCCAAGCTGATTCTTGACTCTGTGAAGCCAACTGTTGACAGAAGCACTTCTGCTGACACTTAACTTATTTGTCCTGTATGAATATAATATAAAATATGAAAACACGTAATTAATTGTGTACTGTATTTTAATTATATGTGCTGTTTTGGTGTTTTGACTATTTGATGAAAGTGGACTTTTTTTCTTATCTTATATATGTTTAAGGTACACTGCATGTTTAAGAGTTTCTATAGTGATACTTACTATGTCTACCAGACCTGCAGAGCTACTGTTTTTCTCAATTCAGACCTTAAAAACTGAAATATATAAGGGAAGACACAGTCTTCTAAATGACTGGCTGGCCATTTAGAACTATAACAAATAATCAAAATGGAATATAAAAACCAAGTGCAGGGCGACTAAGCAATGTTTCTTAAGTAGGACAACCCCCCCCCCCCCCCCCTCATTTTGGCTGGTAAAACTCATACAGAGTACCTTTAATATCATCTTGTCTAGTTGGAAAAGCACATATGTATATCATTTTTATTATAACAGTGAAGCATCTTTTATATTCCAGACTGTTTTGTGTGATCAAAAATTGAACATTCATAATATGATTGTATCATACTGATGTGATGAGAAATAATCTCAAGTATGATAATTATCAGTGCAATTCAACATATACCTCAAACCACTCCAATTCCATTTTTAAATCTTTTTGCAAATTATATGTTTAAGTAAATGTATGAGTATTAAAAAATATCTTTTATTTCATTTGACTTTCTTGAGGTATGTGTATATCGTTTTATTCTTAAATTATATGAAGGTGGTTTAAAGTATGAATCACAGATTTCCTTAGGGGGAAATTATAAGTTTCCATAAAGTGTCAAAAAAAAACTTGTTTTTACTTTGCAAGGTTAATTCTTAGATTTTAGTATTCCCCTTTCATTAAAACAATTGTAAGGCTTTTTTGTGGGATAATCACATTAAAGCCGAATGTGTGCAATATACCGATTATCAAAGCTTTTTTGCTTTCCCTTTTTTCACATTATAATTTGTTTCATCTTCATTCCAGTATTGAAATTGTTTTTCCATAAATATTTTTATTTGTCACAAGCTATTAATATTTGTACATGCACTTTATGCACTATATATAACTGTTTTTAGAAATTATTTTTTCATTTTAAGTAATGTTGATTTTGCTTTAATTTATAAACATTTGTTTACCTGAAATAAATAAATACACAGTTGACTTGTGTTAGTTTGTCACCCAAAGTATAATAAATTATATATTACTTTCTAAAATTTATACTTTTTCTCAAATGTTTCATCTTTAAATTGCTGCCCATGTGAACATTGCATGGTATCTGTTTTCTGTAACTCCGTTTCTGGGATGTTGAAAATGACACTGGTGAATATTTTTGAACACAAATGTGGGACTTCACTTCTCTTTGAGTTTTTGACCATTTGGACTTGATAGATTTTCTCACTTGTTGCATGGTAAACCCTGATGTATTGAAAATATCTGGACTGATCATTCCTTCCTTTTGCAATCTATCCAAATGTGAGCCTCTCAGTCTGTTGATATGCATCCTGTTGGTAAAAGTGCTTTTGTAAATTAAATCTGTTTCACATTTTTCTGTTCTCTGGGAGCACCTAATTTGATTCTGGTCTTTCGTGGTTCTAGCTGCCTTTATTGCTTTGAATGTTGCCAGTGGCCTTTCTAGGAAGCAAAATTTAACCACTGTCCTGGTTCGTAGTTTATAGCTGTTGCTTGTTCTTGTGAGGTGGTCACCTTGCAATCTCCTGCTGTGTTTTGACATCATTGATAAAAGAAATCCTAACGGTTAAAACAAAAGTAAACACGGTAAAAAAGCCATAGAGTTATACAATTTGCACAACTATTCGTAAATTAAAAGCCAGTGTTACTCAAAAATTATTTATAATGTTTACAAAATATAATCCAATATAACCCATGATAAGAAGCGGCATACTGAGTACTGATGACTAATTCAGTAGAGCAAGGCATGATTCATACACTGACTTAGTTTCTACTGGCAAAAATCTCATTAATTATTTTACGGCAAATGAGTTTATAAAACAAACATTTGATGGATTATACCGTTAATATAATTTACGTCAATGCAAAAGCAATGCACGCTGCGCTGAAACTCGATGAGCGTACAGGATCTTCCCGTCAACGGTTCGACACGTGCGTTTGTTTTGGTTACAGCTACAATACGGAATGCAAAACAACATTTTACATAAAATATATCCAGAAGAAAAGTTTTGATTGCCAAACCTTGATTAATTTAAAACATTTCATACATAGCCATAAAATTTTGCCATTAAACTAGTAATACATTCATTTATGTTTGTAATATTTTTGCACAATTCGGGAAGCCAAGATTCATTTAGTAAAATGTGTCACGTGATCCGGCAAGACAACCGAAACATGGCGGCGTAAACATTTGGCTGAAAAAGCCAAAGGATTTTTAACATGTCTAAAAGCGGAGAACCCATGGATGAGGTATGTATAAAACTACACAATGGCATAGATTGGAGTAAATTATTCCATGTTTTACGGATAAAGTCGATGTGCAGACCTAGCTTTTATAAAAGAAAATGCTTTTAACCACTATCGAGGCTTACTGACTGATACAAGTTGCACAGGTTCAACCACTTGCCATTCTTCACAATTAAAATTTTCCACACTTCGATGAATGGGTGCATCGTTCTTTACTAAGATGATTTCAGTATAAAATAGGAAAGATGCCCAAGATCATACTTTGTCTGCCTAGCTGTGATATCATTTTACCAAAACAACAGTACCCTGTACATGTACTTGTGCATGTATTTGATGGATTATTAATTGAACTGAGACCAATTGAACTTGAAGTGGAATTGTATTTCAGAGCGTGTTGATACCCACCACTGGTAAGTGGATATGGAAGGAAGATCCCACCAACCCAGATAAACCACCTTGTTTAGAATTTGCAAGGTAAGATAGTCCTTACAGCATAAACCAGCTCCTTAATTTCAGAGTAATATTCTTTTGAGTAAAATTTTACTTAAACAAATTGATAATTGATATTACCCGAGGACTGCAAACCACCCCTTAAGGGAAATTCAGAAGTAACATATGCCTTCCTTGTTACCATGTATATATTATATCTACTTATTAGGAACACTTTTTAAGGTTATTAAAGTCAATTACACTGCTTTTCAATGTTATAACAGATTATTATTATTTATTATTATTATTATTATTATTATTTATTTATTTATTTATTTATTTATTTATTTTTTGCTACAGCAATTATGCTTCCACAGATAAACAAGATAAAAATAGGAGAAGAGGTAAAGGAGGAGGCATGCAAGTACAAGATTTTATGGGAGGCAAAAGAAATGACAGGTCAGTCAAACAATGATGGTCATTATATATCAGCAGAGTACCAATGCATTTGTGCTCTGTGTAGCATTTTGGAGGGGAAATACCTTAATTGACTGGGGATCAAACCCAGGATGCTAACTCACTGTGGTAATGCTCTACCACTGAGCTATTGAGCCTGGGACTACCCCATCCAGTCACTACATCTTCAAGTTCTTTAGCAGACCCAACCTTCAACTATGGCCTATTCTTTATTGAAACAGAGATGGAGGAATTCCTTATTATGCCCAAATTAGAAAGTGGGGAAAACCCTTTGCTAAACCTGTACTGCACGATGTGCAACTATTTAATCAAAGTGTGTATTGCTGGATTTTTTTTCAAACACTAGTTGTGGAACATGTTCAGAAATTGCTCTAACATGAGGTTTAATGTCAAACTAGTTTAATTTTTTCTTTCATGTAAGAGCTATACATAAATTATAGTACACACAGAAAATTATGTACTTACCCTGGATTGGACTTGTTTGAAATAATTTAATCCAAAATCCTCCATTATATTGCAGAGCTACCCCAAGTATAGCAAGCAGGCCTTATGCAGTAGGCCGCGGAAAGGCAATCCAGTCATCTAGGTCACCCAAACCAAGCAAGCCATCAGCAGTACACACCGAGGTGACACTTACAGATGTGAAATGTATGTAATAGTATATATATATTTTTTATATTTATATTTTCTCCTTGTTGATTAAAATTGCCAAAGTATTATTAATTGCTGTAAGTAGTATGTAAAATGCAATATTTAAGTTTGTATTTGCAAGCTTGTCATTTGCTATCATGACTGAAGTACTTCATTACAGTGCAAGTGATTTTTGGAAGAAAATTGCATTTTTAAAAAAGATAATGTAGATTTTTCATTTCTGTTAAAAGTCATAGCCTTTGATATCATGAATACATTGTGAGAGTAAATACTCCACAAGTTTTTATGGCACCATGATTTTGATTTTCAACTTTCATGTTTAATATGTATTTTTTCCAGTGGTTGCTATGGATCTGTTGCAGCAAGATATGTTGATACTGTCAGAAAAAAATGGGAAGGACCAAGATATATCAGACAATTTTGACAATGAAAAATATGGCCTTCTGTGGTAAGCTTCTGGTCAATTAGATTTAGGTTAAAGTCAAGTATATTTTTGATGTTTGAAGTATTATTATTATCAGTGAACCATCATTGTGCCATAGCATTACAGTTTTGTGTAGTTTGTTTACTTAAACTCTCCATTCTTTTCTTGAATGTAAATGTGTTGCAATACATGATAAGTGAGAATTCTTTGCAGTGAGACTTTGTTCATGTTTATTTATGTATTTATTGATTGATAATACCTCCTCTTGCATCTGCCTAAAACACTTTTAGGGGGGACTGTTTATTTATTTGTTTGTTTGTTTGTTTGTTTGTTTGTTTGTTTATCTAAGGGTAAAATCAATTTCTCTTTTTTTTTAGGTCAGAAGCATTTGATGACTTCCTAATGTATCTGCTCAATTACTTCCATTGTTATTTTGAAAAGAAGAATCAAGAGGAAAAGAAAAATCCTAATTACATGTAAGTTGCATTACAGCAATTACAACTGCAATATCAGCAGGATTCTAAAACAGAGAGAAATCAATAGTGGAACATCTTTTTTTGGTGTACATCAAACCAAAAGTTTGTGGGCACCCTCTGAGTTAACTTACAACATAATATGTTTGAAGAAACACATTCAGTCAAGATAACTTATTTGTGTGTACACTGCATGGTCATTGGTGTTGTCATGACCTCTCTTTGCGTGGCTCTTGAATTTGTGTAGTGCTGCATGTAATTGGGGTCACTATCTGTACACTGCATCTGTTAGCTTGTATTTTCTGAAATAAAAAAGAAAAACAAAACAATGTTATGCAATTTTACCTGCATGTAATATGTGCTATGTGTAAAAAAAATACAGATTTTATTTTTGGTATTGTTTAGCATGTTTTTATCATTGTTATTGCATGCCACAATGTTTTGACATTTGTCTTTATTTATCCTAAGACTAAATAGGTAAGTTAAGTGCATGGAAAGTGTAAACTGTGAAGTTTCCAGTCTCATTTTCAAAACTGGAGGTGTTTTTTGTTCACACAATTGTTTTGGCTTGATTCCAAAATTTAGTTTGAACTTTTCTGGCATTTGGATACTGTATATAAATAAATGATAACTTAATTTATTGTGCTATTTTTTGTATTTATCATTTTTTTATATATAAATCTGTTGCTGTTTTATATGTTTCCTTTTTCTTTCTTTTTTGTATTGTGATTATTTTAGATTGCTTTGTATGTTATTACAATTCAAATGAGATAACCAATTTTCAAAGTGTTCTTTTTCAAACAACTTAATTTTGTAACATCTTGAAAGTGTAAAAACTTTTTGTTAAATATACTGGTCAGCTTTTAGGGTAAAGGCAATGGCTAACACCATGAATAAAATTTACATATGTTATAATAGATTAATCTGCCACTTTCATATTCGGTAAAATTAATATTTCAACCATTTTTATTCAATATCATATATTGTAAGTAGTTCCTGTTAAATAGAATCCTTATATTTATATATTACCCTACATACAATGAAATGATCAAGAATGTATATTTGTACTGTTATATTTCAGAGAACCCAGCTTGTCTGAAAAGAAAGCATATGAAGAAGCCTGTCAGAAACTCCAGGTTGCACAGAAACACCTTGGCCAGTCGTACTGTGTTCTTATTTTGGGGCTGGATATGCAATTTCAGCACCACATGGCTTGTGGGAGGTTAGTACAGTAATCTACACCTTTTTTTAAAATAGTGGAAGGGAGCTTAAGATGGTAAAGGATATACTTGAAAAGAATTATTGAAACTGTTTGGAAACTTGTAAGCAGAGAGTATGTGTTTTCTTTCTTTTTTTTATTGTCAAGTTGGGCATGGAAAAATATAGCAAGTGTAGACAAAGATATCTTTTCTTTATCAATTTGTTAGGATTTTTATTAAAAGAGAAGAAAATAAAATATGTTTTTTTTTTCTTAAAGTATGTTTTGATATTATGATATATGATGTCATTTGATTTCTTTTAGTTCTCGTGTGTCTACTACACGCACAGACAGAGTTCTATATGAGGTAAGCATCTGACTGACAAATTGAATGTTGATATAAAAAAAATTCTTTTTATTAATTTTTGTTAATTATTATTATTATCATTATTATTTTGCATTATAAGTGCTTCTATGCTCCTTTTTTCATTTTGGATACACATTTTTTTAAAAAAATTATCTTAATTATTCACTATGCCAATAATGCAACTCTTCAAGGATTGATGTATAAGTTTATTAAATGTTGACAATATTCATTTCAGAATCTGTACAATTTCTGCATTTTCTTCACATGGGTAGCATTCAGACGAAAAGATCTAAACAGCATTAAGGTGGAACTTGGAAGGTAAACAATGCTTTTTAGATATAGTGTTATATTTGAAGTTGTCACTGAATTTCTAAGTATTCTGTAAATTGTGATGGCTTGTAGTGTGTATAGAACCTCACCACAAAAAAGTTCTGATCATGATGATCTTTTCTTTTTAATGGGCAAAATTATTTTGTATTTTGAAATAAAGGGAATGAAAACGTAAAAGAAATTAGGGATTTGATATTTGATTACTTTGTTTCAGGATGCTGCGATCTGATACATTCAATCCAGCCATCAGAGTGAAATATGCACCAGACTCTGGTGAGTGCTTCTTTTGTTTCTCTTTATTTATTTTTATTAAACATATAAAACAGTGAAAATGGTATCTGAGTATTGAAATGCTGAACATCTTAGACTGGGTTCCCATACCTACATCGATCCAACAGGATTGATCCATATCCAAGGGGTATCTCGCTAAAATGCTTTAAGCTTTAGCGGCTTAGATGTCTGGCACGCCTACTGAAGCTACTAAATGATAGTTAATTACCCCCTAGCAGCTTCAGTAGGCGTGATAGATTTCTAAGCCGCTTAAGTTGATAGCAATTTAGCGAGAATCCCCTTGGAGATAGATCGATCCACAGTTAGTATGCTCGGATCTGAGAATGGTCCCTAAAAGGATGTCTTGATTCTTTTTTCATGACAAGTGATTTATTATCATAGTGATAATTATATATTATAGTGATGGATATGTTCAAAGAAACTACTATGTTTTCCAGTGGAACCCTCTGCAGATGACAGTGACAAAGAGAAAAAGACGCCGGAGGAAGAAAAGAAATTAACACCTGCAGAGTACAGAAGACTTCATCCGTAAGTAATTTGTACATTACAACAAAGATGAAATCATTCCTTTTGAACCACAAATTAATAATCTTTTATGTTTTCATTCCCTTTATTTCAAAATACAAAATAATTTTGCCCATTAAAAAGAAAAGATCATCATGATCAGAACTTTTTTGTGGTGAGGTTCTATACACACTACAAGCCATCACAATTTACAGAATACATAGAAATTCAGTGACAACTTCAAATATAACACTATAACTGAATAAATACCTTTTAACGGAGCATGATTAAGTTTTCATTTTGTGTGATGATTTCTGAGAACAAAGACTGTAACAATAATCTCTTTATTTATTGAACATGTAAAACCACTTGCTTTTATATTTTTAGAAAAAGACCTGCAATTAAAAGTATAATCAAGTAAGTTCTTTGAAATGTCTTCATGGAAATCTCTCTCTCTCTCTCTCTCTCTCTCTCTCAAGTATACAATATTTCTGAATGAACATAAAAGTAAAGTGACCATCATTTAGATTCTATAAATTGATTTTTAAAAAACAGATTTTTTCACATTTAATCTTTTCTCTTATCATAAAAATGTTATGTTTGTTATTTCCTGATTTGTAGTCAGCGATCACCAGCCTTGGTATCAATTCTACCATCTCCAAATGAAGAAGCAAACTGGTTATTTAGAAGACAGAGACCTCTATCTCCAAAGTAAGTATTTAAATATGTCACTTTGAAGTATGTTATGAAATTCACCATTTCTTTAATGAATCTGTGCTCATTTTGTATTATGATACCACAAATACTAGAATTCTAAACTGTGCACTAACTGTTTTCATTGCTTAATTCATTAATATTACATGTGCCTCAGCAATTCTTTTGTTTTTTTTGGATACAGCAAAGCCTTACTTCAGGCTTGGGGTAATAATGGTATATAACTAATAGAACATTCCCTGTTATTGTTTTTCAAAATAAAGATTTCTTCTGCATACAACTTTCTGTTGAGATAAGTAACATCTTGTGAATTGTCCAAAATTTTGTTTTGAAACCTACATGCAAATTGAGTGAAAAAATGTCTTGCAGAACACTTGGCAGTATCGGGAAGGAAGAAACAGATGAACTGGAAGAAGATTTTGTGTCTTTTAGTAAAGCAAATTTCAAGTAAGTTTTTATGTAGATTTTCTTCATTTTAAAATTACATTATGGTAGATAATGGTTGTTGCTTTTGTGAAAGCAAATTTTTTTTTTTCGTGTGTTTGGATTTAAATATACATAGCTGTTGGTGGCATGACCAAACCTGAAGTGTTGAGAATTATATTGATGTCATTCTGTAATTTTTTTTTTCATCATACAGTTTGGGCAAGAAGAAAGGGAAGAGATTTGCACACCCCCTATCTGGGCCACTTGAATCACCTCTTAAGCTGATTTATTTTACTGTTCACATTAACAGCATACTATTTATGTGTTCATTTTATTTCACATTTTAGGATGGGCATTATTGGTGAACCATTCAGTAACTTTAATCATCTGACTCTGACCCCACTGGGAGCTGAAAATGATGAAGAGAATGAGGCAGAGGAGGGGAGGGAGTAAGTCTTTCTTGTCAAAGTTTCTTTCAATTAATTTTTTTTCTTTTTAAATTTTAAAATAAGTGTATGAAGCATAGAAAAAAGTATTTGATACATTGTATTTTCTCTTTCCAACACTTAATATGTGGCTCAAGTTCTTCATTGTGAGGCATAAAAATGTATTTTGTATGTACTGAAAATGCCTGAAAGCTTGCACCAAGGGATACGTAGTTTAATTTCATTTTTTATAACACATTTACAATGAATTTTCAGGTCCCAGGTTGGATCAGCAGGTCAAGATAAAGCATCACAACCAGGTAAATTAAACCAACAATATCATCATTTTGTTCTTATTTAATATGATATTTCAAGTTAAGCAACTGATTTTCAAGAATTTTTTTATCAGTGTGTAGTTTTAACTGATTATTTAAGTGCAAACAGATATTGTAAAAAAAAACTTTTTTTATCAGCCATAAGTTTTCTTTATTTAAATGATGTTATGTAATGCAGCCACCCCTGACTCCCACCTATCTACTGACCCATTGGTCAGTGTGGTTGACCAGAACACTGACCACATGCACCCTAATCACAAGGAAGGCCAGTCAGCCTCAGCAGGTGCAGCGCATGTTGAGTGTTCATTGAATTCCTCCATCATATGCAGAACACTATCTATGGTTTACATACATCTGTTTAGTCTAGTTGCTCAGTATTGGTATTGAAAAAAAAACTGATATCTTCACTTACAAATTACTTCAAAAGTAGTTAATTCTCCTTCTCTTTATATTTTAAATGAGAGAGAGAGAGAGGGAATAAAACTAAAAATTGTGGAAAGATATCCAATGAAGGTCCACACAGGAACCAATTAGGGGAGACTGGGGCTAGTTGGACCCTGGGGTAAGTTGCCCCACCCCCCTCCCCCCCCCCCCCCCCATCAAGTCTCTTTAATAAAATTACTTTAAGATGCTAAATTATTTCATTTGGACTCACTGCCGATGCTTTCTTAGCACTGTTGGATACAGTCACTTTACAAAATGATGTGATCAATTCTTTTACCCCATAGTTACTTTCTCATAAATTGATGGGGGGCCAACTTACCCCGGGGTCCAACTAGCCCCGGTCTCCCCTAGTACACTGTTGAGGCATTGGATTTTGAATAAACTCAAAAATTAAATATCTTGAAAGATGGCAGTTGCATTTAGACTAAACCTGGACTGGCGTGGAAGAGCTTAAACTTTTGTCTACAAAGTTGATCAGAATATTCATATCTAAAGTCACACTTTTGCATGCAAGTCATTTATCTCTGACATATTCTGGTGTGGTATGGTTTAACAAATGCAGTGTTTGGGTTCAGAACTTTTTTATTTTCAAATATGAAATTATTTTGGTGCATTATGTTCTGATGACACGTTTTACTGTGATATTTTGTTGATAAAGTCTCACACTTTTGACAGAATACCAATATCTAGCTTAATTTTTTTTTTTAATTTATCAGAACTCTGAAACATTTACTTCATGGTTAAAAACTAAATAAGTGTTAGAATTAATATGTCAGTACATTTTCTGTTATTAATTTTTGAATGACATTAGAGGTCATTATGTTCTTATCACAGGTGTCAGTTTTTGTTTAAATGTTTGAATATATATATTTAATTAATGCAGAACAGTTTTTCATTTCTCATTTACTTCTTGACTTTTTTGTGTTAAATTGCACCTTTAAGAAAAACTTTGCTGTACTTATCTGTACACTGTTACACTTTTAAATCATCGTTTTTCTCATTTTTCCTTCAGTTTGCTGTTTTCTTTTATTTATTAATTTCATCATATTTTTATACATGTATTCTTTCATTTTATGCCTTTTTATCTCATTTTAATTATTTTCATATCTGACAGGTGATAAAAGGTTTTTAATATTATTTCTTATGCATTTAATAATTTAATATAATTAACCCCTTTTTAAATTTGGATCTTACTCATTTCACAGATGCAGGCAGCCGTATGGGGACTGCAATGTCTCAAGCAACAACAGAGGCCCCTGATGATGACTAGATAATGGGAACAATTTGTAAAAAAATTACCACTAACCAGAACACCCAAGCAAGGTTTCACTCCCACAGCGTTCAGCGTTTGTTGCCATCCAACCACTTATTATACATTTTTTGTTTCTCATTACTCACATGCTCGTTGAAGGAGTACTGTATCAACATAGCCACACTCGTTTTTATGTTTTATTGGGTAATTAATAAAAAAAAACTTTGTAACGATTTGAAGAGGCGCGGCTTTAAAGACATCGATGGTGTCAGTATAAAAATGACTTTAATTCTGAACTGCTTGAAATATATATATGTATATATTAAGTCAAAAAGATATCTAGAGTAAAGCTGTCCAATTTTTTTCGTTAAGACATTTTATATTAATGTTCACGAGATGATTTAGCTACATGGTATGGACTTATAAAACAGAAAGTTTTGATAATTGTTATTTACTTTCAAATTCACCAAAAGGCCACACTAAAGGCCAATGAGAAAATTGAAATGAATTAAAGTCATAGAAAAAAGACAAAAGTTGTGTTTATCTTTATGTTTGTTGCTGTTGTTGTTGACTTTAAAAACTCGCTAAATATTATTAAAAAATTGCTATCAGTGCTACGTCATAGTCAATTGGTGACGTCTTAGCGTCACGTCATGAACAAGGCCATGGTAACTGACAGAACACACCAAGCTTGATCAGCAACAGGACGAGTTCGCTAGCTATGGACGGTAACAGTAACGAACAAAGTTCTACGGAACAGCCTCATGACGTTGATGGATGTTCTGAACAGATTGGCATAAAAGAGACCACAATGAAGGCGGAAGAAACAACGCCAAAGACAACTGACGAGAAATCAAAAACTATGACGGATGGTAAGCTCCGAGTTTTCCTGATGCACTGATTTCCGACATCCCAAACATTATTGATAACCTTTTCAACCTCAATTTTTATTTGTATTTTCACTTGTCTTATTTTATAATTTGTCTCATTTCCATCATTCTGAGCTAATAGTTGCTTCTGGGGAGTCTCTTCTGGGGAGTTCTCTCAAGAGGTGAAAGGCATCCCCTTATTTCCTTTGCTTATCTTAGTCTCTCTCTGATTCTTTTCTTTTTCCTTCTGTGCTGTAGTGAGTGATGTCACCTTAACCATGCAGGACGCGTCTGGGGAGTTTTCTCCTTTAAAGAAGAAAGCCAGCAAAACACGAGATCCCAACTATCCCATCTCTGGAGGAGACAAGAAGAAACGGGATCCTGAGAAAATCAAGAAGCTGGAGCTCGAAATCGATGCCCTGTACGAGAAACTAGCCATTGGCAAAGGAGAATAATCTATCTTCACGAACAAAAGATTACAAACAATTCAAATATAACACGAGACAGTTCAAACTTCGCCCTTATGTTTTCTTATCTTTAAAAAATCTTATTTCGAAATTTTCAAAAGAGTTCTTAGATATATCAGTTTTTTCTTTAAATTAACAGAAGCTTACAATGATAAACAGCTTGTGAAATAAATGTCTTAAATTCAAACTGCGAATATGTTTGCTGTCGTTCCTTACTTACATAAAATACAATGTCGACCTTATTTTCAAAATACCTCGCACATTTTTAAAATCTCTTTAACATTCGATGGGATATATGGAACTATTATTCTACTGTTTATCTAATTGTGACAGTTCACCGTATTCTGAAACAAAAACCCTATAAATAAGAACTGATCTGTCATTTTCTTCCCCGCCCCCCCCCCCCTCCACCTCCCATCATGTTTGTGAAAATATTCCATAGTTTGCATTGCGGCAGTTGCGGTCGGTTGTGCTCGTCATTATCTTATGGAAGATTTTATCAGTATTTTATTCGATACGTTTCTTGCTGTGAGTGTCTTTTTGCTTGAAATCATGCCTTGAAATAACTCAGATAAACACAACTTCACCAATAAATACTATTTATTAACTTGCGGATGCGTTAATTATGCAAACCAGCAAAATGGGAGACAGCGAGGTGAAACGGTTCTTCTATGTATGATTGTGTTTGCAGGCCTACCGACATTTTTTTATTTGGTCGAAATTTATTAAACTATACATTTATTAAGGCAAGTAACTGTTTTTATGATGCAAATCATCGGGGGTGCTAAGAAATCAACAGCGGTGGATATCTCTTACCTGATATTCTTTAATCAGCCAAAGAAACCAACACAGATTCCAAATCTCAGTATATAAAATCTATTATTATTATTATTGATAATGAATAACAAACTATCTGAAATAATACGTGTTATGGCATCATGCTACGACTCTTAAAACATATTCCTCGCAGCTTGTTTATTCGGCATTAACAATAGTTCTTATGAATTTAAATTTTGTTTCTGAGCCGTTTTGGGCTTATTAAAAAGAATGTATGACAAGAAATATCAATCGGTATTGACTCTATATGAGCTCTGGCAATTTATGTCTGAACAAAACAGTTACCTGACTTATCGAACGCATAGCTTATCATAATTTCAATCAAATGTAGTCAAATTGGTAAGCAGACAAACACAATCACATAAATAAAGCCATTTCAGCTTGATGTCTACCATTTCGCTAGTTTGCATACTTAACGTACCTGCAAGATCAATATATGCGATTCACAGGTGAAATGGCATTCAGCTATGTCATGTTAAGACGTCAGCTTTAAAAAAAGGACATTTAAAAGAATAAAATAGTTGAATAAAAAACTGATAAGATCTCCCGCCCTGCCATGAATAGCACAACCGACCGCAACTAGCACAATGCAGGCAATGGGGTGGTTACGATACTAAATTTTGGTTAATTACACTTTTTATGATAAAAGTGTCATTGTTTTATGCTGATGTTGCATCCTCTAATTTTTATTTAAACCAAAGGTGTTTCTAGTCACACATTCATTTTCTTAACACTGGCGGATTCAATATACAAAGAAGACCTGGAATTACCTCTCTCCCCATTTTCCACTAAGATTATTCATTGTTGTTCATTTTACATTGCTGGGCACAAAAAAAAAATAATAATAATAAAATAAAAATACTTCTGTGGGTATAAATTGGCATGTTGTTTCTCTGTTTTAAGAGGAATTTTACTGAAATATTGTAATTTGTTTTTTAAAAAATGGTAACGGGCACTTAGTCTGATGAATTGGTCTATACTGCGTTTATTGGACATCTATTTATCTAAATAAAAATTCACGGTTAACTGACCCAATAAAAACGTTATTTTAATTGCAATTTTAATTCTTATTAAAATAAGATCTGGTCGTCCTTGTTCTGGTGTGATGTTAAATTTGATCAATGTTATATTCATACTTGTACTGTTTGTGAAGAAGGGTTCTACTGTCTTTTGAAAGCTATATCCAAACATTTCCTTTCCATGGCAAATTTTATTGATCGGATTCACATTTCTGTATAAATTCATCTTTAACAATACACATATCTTTAACAACTACGTCATGTTGGTTTCTTAACACTCCTGCCTAAGAGGCAGCAAAGGTGAAACTCAGTTCTACATGTAACTCTTCTGCACCAAAATAACTGAAACTCTACTATTAAAACCGATTTTTCAAACGATTTGTATGTTATGCGTGTAATTGTCTTATACCGCAGAATTTCCGTCCCGCAAGGCGTTTGAATGATTCAAAACGTTTTTTACCCCCAAAACATTAATTGTAAATTACATATACTGTACATGTAGTTAGTTGTCAAGAATTGGAATAAGCCTTTGTGAGAACTTAGAATAAAACTAACCAAAATTGTGGAAATTTAAACAATAGTGTATGACAACGCATGATGTCTTTCTACGTAAGGAATTTCACCATTCCTGGATTCTTTTTCACGAGACTTGCAAGTCGCAACAAATATAAAGATTTTATTCATAAGATTTTTAACAAATTGGCTGTACATCTTCTGAGCACGGTGTCTGTCCGGGGCATCACCGCCCGGCCCACCACTTTTGCCAAATAATATTTTTTACTTCAAATTTGCTGAGCGGTTTTGTTTTAAAAAGCAGCATGATCGAATTATTGTACGTTGTGATATCACCTCTGTATGAGTTAAAAAAAACCGGTTGTAAGAGGGACACACCGCCCGGGGAGGGGGGGGGGTGCTGGGTAGGCTGGTTGCAGAAAACGCTTTTAGGTAAACAAGTGGCCTACATCAGCTGCAGAATCCTGGTAATAACATATAATGTTCACATGGGCAGCAAGATGAAACATTTGAGAAAAAGTATAACTTATAGACAGTACATTTGTGTTCAAAAATATTCACCAGTGTCATTTTCAACATCCCAGAAACGGGGTTACAGAAAACAGATACCATGCAATGTTCACATGGGCAGCAATTTAAAGATGAAACATTTGAGAAAAAGTATTACTTTTAGACAGCAACATACATATAATTTATTAAGCTTTTGGTGACAAACTTACACAAGTTAACCGTGTACTTTTTTTTCAGGTAAACAAATGTGAATAAATTAAAGCAAAATCAACATTACTTAAAATGAGAAATAATTCCTAAAAACAGTTATACAAGTACATGTAGCAATATTAATAGCTAGTGACAAATACAAATATTTAAGGAAAAACAATTTAAATATATAATGTACACCTTTTTCCTGGAATGAAGACTTTGATAATTGGTATATTGCACCCATTCAGTTTATATATCCTACAAAAAAAAAAAACAAACTTACAATTGCTTTAATGAAAGGGGAATACTAATACCTGAATGAGAAAACCTAAGAATTAACCTTGCAAAGTATAAACAATTTTTTTTTTTTTTTTTTTGTGACACTTTATGGAAACTTATAATTTCCCCTAAGGAAATCTGTGATTCATACTTTAAACCACCTTCATATAATTTAAGAATAAAACAATATATACGTACCTCAAGAAGGTCAAATTAAATAAAAGATATTTTTTAATGCTCATACATTTACTTACACATATAATTTGCAAAAAGATTAAAAAATGGAATTGGAGTGGTTTGAGGTATATGTTGAAGTGCACTGATAATACTGATCATACTGAGATTATATCTCATCACATCAATCATATTATGAAAGTTCAGTTTTTGATCACACTAACACAAAACAGTCTGGTATGTAAAAAGATGCTACACAGTCATAATAGAAGTGATATATATGTGCTTTTCCAACTTGACAAGATGATATTAAAGGCACTCTATACGAGTTTTACCAGTCAAAATGAATTTTCCTATTTTGTCCTACGTACATATTTATATTCCATTTTGATTAATTGTTATAGTTCTAAATGGCCAGCCAGTCATTTAGAAGACTGTGTCTTCCCTTATATATTTCAGTTTTTAAGGTCTGAATTGTGAAAAAGCAGTAGCTCTGCAGGGCCTGTAGACATAGTAAGTATGAATATGGAAAACTCTTAAACACGCAGTGTATCTTAAACATATATAAGATAAGAAAAAAAGTCTCTTGGGACTAGTGATCTTATACTGTAGCACAATATCCACTTTCATCAAATAGTCAAAATACCAAAACAGTGCAAATAATGAAAATAATTAAAATACAGTACACAGTTAAGTGTTTTCATATTTTATATTATATTCATACAGGACAATAAATAAGTTAAGTGTCAGTGGAAGTGCTTGTGCCAACAGTTGGCTTCACAGAGTCGCTGATCAGCTTGGAGATTTCTCTGTGCCCTTTAGCAGTTGCCTCCTTGAGAGGAGTATATCCAAACCTATCTTCTGCCGTGACACTCACCCCTTGTTCTAACAAAAACTCCACTGAATCCTGATGTCCATGAGAAGCTGCCTGAAATAAAAAAAATTACCCAATTATTATTTTTAAAAAATCATGTCATATGACAAAAAATTAAAATGGACATCAAAAGGCTTGCAGGTCTCAGTGTCCATGTTTACGTACACAGTGAAGAAAAGTATATATTAAGAGTTTTTAACAGTACGGTCTGGTTTTCCTTACAACATGTAGTGCAGTTCTTCCGTCATAGTCGCTCTGGCTTAGATTTGCACCAGATAAAGCCCAAGCTTTGAGGGAATCCACATCATCTTGAGCTGCAGACCTACAAAATTAGTCAAATATCTGTTTTTAAAAATCAGGATAATACTTTATTTAAAAGCATTTACATATGGACATCAATTTAAAAGAACCATGTTGCCATTGGAAAAAATGTTTCTCACTTCAGCTTTTAAAAGAACTAAACTTTATATTGATTATAAGTAAACCATTTTTTATCACTAAACTGAAACAGTTCATTATTTGACTGGAACAAAAAATTTGAGTGACTGATAACATGACAAAAAAGGAATTTACTTTTCATTTCAACCTACATGCATAACTCTGACCCCAATTTATATGGGGGTAGAACCAAATGAGCTCCAGTCTGAACCAGCAGGCGAATGATATCAAGATGTTTCAACTTGACCACTTCGTACAAAGGTGACCGTCCATTGTTGTCCCTAACATGGACAGGTGCCCCATGCTGCAGCAGATACTGGACAATGTGGAAGTGACCTTTCCCACAGGCAATGTGAAGAGGACTCCTGCCACTGTAGTCCACCATGCCTATGTGACCTCCCTTTAGGAAATGAAATCTTTATTTCAAACATTCTCAAGAAAAAAAGCGGGTTTAAACCTAATTCTGCATTTCCTCAACAGATGTGATATTTCACTCTTCTTCATAAGACTAATAATAATAATAATAATAATAATAGCAATTATGACAAATTCAAGTTTAAGGATAAAAAATAGACACCTTAAATTTTAGAATATATATTCAAGAAAAAATGAGTGCTTGATGCAAAGCAAAATTGTTCAAAGCTTAGGAAGAGAACTATATGCACAAGAAAACAAAGAGATTTCTAACCGCTTTTCTAATTTTTTGGAGTACAGCCAGATCCCCATTTTGGGCTGCAGTGCACATCAATGATGGAAATATGGCATCCTTCAGTGTTTGCATTTCCTATAAAAACACAAACATAAATTAAATTTCTTCATTTTATTTTTTCAAACTACCTTATGTAATAAATCAAAGTAATTCTATAATTAATCTAGGAATGTCCTACCTAAAACATTACAATATCATTTAAATTTGTCTTAGATGATTATTTTATTGAGACCAATTATCAATTCATCAATTAAATTAAATAATTATAAAAGTAAAGTAACTTGCTTCTTTGGAGCTAATTTTCATCAGCTTGCCTAAACTGTCAATAAGTTTGAAATCTGACACCAAGCTCTCTGTCCTTGCAGTTTTCAATTCACCACGAATGTTCTGGGATAACTTCTAAAAAACCAAAAACAAAAACAAACAAATGCTAAATGTACCATTACACTATAGTCATTACTCAAACATGCCGCAGTCTCCAAGTCTACTCCTTGTGAAACCCTCCCTTGCTTGAAGTATCTTGATGAAGCCTTTTGTTCTATATTTATTATTTTTATATGTTCTGTCAAATAAAGGCATTGCTTCACCTTTCAAAATGATTCCCCGAATGCTCATCCTCACTGTACAAACACTCTCAATCAAACTGGAATAGTTGTTGCTATGACAACAGGGATGCCCCTTAAAACCCTTTCTTCCTTTAGCAGGAACAATAATATCTGAATCACAATTAAAATTTTATACAGTCTTTTATATCATAAAATAAATAATTATTATAATAATAATAGTAAAATACATTCTCCTTACCTTCCTCTTTTGCTCTAAACTCCAGTCTTCTCTTCCTATTACAAAGGCCAGCTTGGTCAGTGCTGCCTCAGGTGTCATGTCAGAGCCTGGGATCACACCTGCATCAGTCAAAGCCTGGAAATATCAAATACAAATCACAGGTCAGTAACTAACAAATATATTACTGTATTGGCCATAAATGCAAAGTAAAATGTTTACTAATAAAATCTAAAACAATCGTTTGGGTATTCTCAAAATACAAAAGTAGGACTTTTTAGCACACTAAGCCACAAGCTGTATGGGTGTCAAAAAAGAAAAGAAAAAAAAACATTTTCAAGAGTATTTCTCTTGGTTATTAGCAAACCTTTCCTGTGGCATAACTTGGGTTAACAGAGCCTCTGTGACACTGGGTGGTGTTAAGCAGCAGCACTCCTCTTTTTGTGGCCTCTGAGAACACTTGCATTAAGTCCTCTCTGGAATCTGGAGCATTTCCAGCCCCGTAGGATTCCAGGACCATTCCCTTGAGTGGAGGTGCCAAAAACTGGCGAACCTATATTATTATTATTATTAATAATAATAATAATAATAATAATAATAATAATAATAAACTTTATCAATAAAAATGATCAAAATTTTTATCAAAATCTAAAAATTTCCTATGACATAATTGGACATCTTTGGACCTAAAGCATTAATTTCTCTCTCTATAAAATCTGTACATGAATAATGACCTTCATAAATAAACATTTAGTAAATATCTTTTTTAATTGACCATATAATTCCCTTTAGAGCGTGGATACATGTATTTACTATTTGATTTATTTTTAGTATTTTTTCATGATCTTATCCTAATAGAATATTTATACTTTTAAACCTGCCTAAAAACAACTTATTCAACTAACCGTAGCAGTGGTGACACTGGGAAAAAGGCGGAGTAATCCCACGCTAGGACAAAGGTTAGTATACAGGGTACATTTTTGAGTGGTGTTGCTTGTAAAAATCTCATCCCAATGCACTGTGAATAAACAGTAAACATATAAAATCAAGGGAAACTTGAAATATACATTGGACCACATGAATCATATCATGGGGTACAAACCTAAAATAGAAAGCCAATCTATTACATTGTAACTGAAATAAAAACCAAGAGCCAAACTTGTTATAAACAATTTATTATTGAAATGAAATTTGAACAAATGCTCTCCACTTTAATAATTTAATATACATTTTTTACAAGTTTTAAATAACATACCATGAATCTTGGTCTCTAAAACAGCAAGGGGAGGAAAGTTTGGGGAATGGAACGCATCAAAACTGCTACTATCAAATTTGATTGAACGGTTTCCTCGAAGAAGCTTATTGTTGAAAAATATCATCACCTAGAAATAAAAAAAAACTTCTATAAAATCAAAATCTGGATAAAGTGTGTACTTTGTTCATAAAAAACTTTGGTTTTCATTCATTTCAATGTAGTAAAGTAAATGCTTTAAAAGCTGAAAAAGATCAATATTTGCAATCTCATACTGACTTTATACCTTTAAAGTGTAAATTATACTGAATGTGAAACTTAACTTATAGGTGCTTTTTTACCAATTAATGCAGAATACATATCAATACACACACACACACACACGCACAGAAAATGTGTTACCTCTGGAATGCAGTAGTTTCCAGCCATTATGAGAGCACCAAGAAGATTATCTCTGCCGTCACTACGAATCTCAAAGATGGGAATCTGAATAAATAAGCAAACAGCATTTGGTAGTAAGCCACATGCTGAAAATTTAGATTCATATATTTTAAGATACGTAATAAATGTTAAACTTTTAATGGCAATTGATCATGTTTAATGTAACATATATTTGTTTTTTGTGTACACTATCTAGAAGTTTACTGTTTTTGACATCAAGAGTACAGCCTTTCATGTAAAGTGATAGAATCCATAAATTGTATTTGAGCCCACAGTTGGGGAAGGGGCATTTTTATCATGTTCTAATGTGAGTTCACACATAACATCTTTCAATATTTTCTTAATGCCTTAATAATGAGAACAAAAACTTACCTGCGAGCCAGTAAGAATGATAGGTTTTCCCAGGTTCTCAAACATGAAAGACAAAGCTGATGCTGTGTAGGCCATAGTATCTGTCCCATGAAGTATAACAAACCCATCAAAATCCTCATAGTAAGTCTGAATGAAAAAAAAAACTGTCATGTTTACAGAATTAAATAAATAAATAAATAAAATAAAAAATTGAGCATGCACACAATATATAAAAAAACTGTCACTTTTTGTAATACTGGAAGGACTCAAAAAGAAGCAGGTGCACTAGACTCTGAGAATCACCTTAATGTCTGAGGCAATCCTAGCCCAGTCATCCATGGTCATATTGCAGGAATCCAGCAGGGGCTCATACTCATACACACAGTATATCACATTTTTCTTTTCTTTGCTTAAACTGAAAAAAAAATTATGTAGATTATTTATTTTTCTTCATGTTTTGTTTATATTGTGTGTATAATGCCTTAACTGATACTCTTCATAACTTAAATGTATTCTCGCAAAACGCGTTAAAAGATGGTTTGTCTCTTTTTTTTTATCTTTGAAAAGGTGAATACTGTCATGGGATCAAACGGATAGTTTTTTTTTATAATTCTTAATTAAAACCTCGATTCCAATTTAAACCTTGGAAATAAAACAGATGGGTCACATAAATGAGCCACTATATTTTCCTAAATCTTTAAAGGTTTTGAATGTAACTTTACCCCGGGGCACATCATAATTACTTCTGAAATGGATTACTCACGGCATACACAATGGTGACTGCATCCATGGGGTTGGTGTTTGACCTCCATAACAGATACTGTGTTTATCTAAGTACTCCTGGTCGTGGAATATTGATAATTTCCTTAACTCATTCACAAGAAAGTTTGGTTCTGGGGTATAAACTATAAAGCAAATATAATACCATATCAATTAAGTTATTTACTAATGCTTAATAACATGCAAAAAGAACCATGAATATAATCAAATGCAAGGATGAGGTGTGATTATGACATAAACCCTGACTTTACGAAAGGCGTCGGACCGTCGGACATGCCTGACAAATTTCGTCTCGGTCTGATAATTCCCCAATTTCACACAGACCACGAATCCCACGAATGGCCAGGAATGGACAAATTTCACGATTCGTGAAGTTCTTAACAGATTCGTATATAATCGTAGTCAGTTCTTGCAATTCTTGATCAATCGGGAATTCGTGGCAAAATTTTTAAGTTGTTCAAAGTTTTGGCCACGAACTCCCGATTCCAAAAAATCGTAGTGAATTTCTGGACAATATTCGTGCGATTCCAGCCGAATCCCACGAATATTCGTAACACTATCGATCGTACCTGTATCGTAACTGAACCGTGAGCGTGTCGAATTAGACCAGAAAATTGGCAAAATCTCACGAATCCTCACAAATCCTGGAATTTCTCAATTCCTGGCGATTCGTGGGATTCGTGGTCTGTGTGAAATAGGGGCCTAAGAGAGGTTGTATAAAAATCCCGGGGAGTTCCCAGCTTATTATACACTACTGTAAGATCTAATATATCCGTTTATTAGATCTTAGTTATACATAGGGGAGACCGGGGCTAGTTGGCCCAGTTAGACACTTTTGGCCTTGTAGAGCCAACTAGGAATGGGTTAGAGCTTGGACCTAACTAGAGATATTTAGGTCCAAGGTTAGAGTAACAAAACCGGTTTCAAAGTAAGCCCCATGAACTAAACTACGCATGCAACGACATTATTTTTCAAATATAATGCCAGGTGGCTCACAATTTGACAAAAAACGCAGTTGACGTCAAGGGGGCCAACTTGCCCCGACATTATAATTTTTTAATTTATTTAATTGATTTTTGAGAGTCTTTGATGAATAAACAGTTCAAATAAGGCAGATTTATTGAGGTTTCCGTACGTCACTTTGTTTGGGGGGGGGGGGGGGTATGTGTTGCAAGAACCAAAATATCTATCAATAAAATGTGTTTTGTTTTAATTAAGAATAAATAAATAATGGTATAAAGAAGGTTTTTAATGGATGAAAATGAATAATAAATTTTCTTTTTAAAAGAAAGTAACAAATCCAGTTTTAAACCATTGAGTTTATTTCAACAATGGTCTCTAGCTAGGGAGGGAGGAAAATCCCCTTGGAGCCACATATAACACTATAAATACAAAGGGAATCCCCTTACAATGAATTAAGGCAAAATAAATGTTTTTCTACGGAAAGTCCAATGGATTTGCTTTTTAATACTTACAATCAACAGATTATTTATAATATAAATTTTCAAAAAGACACCAGAGAGAAAATTTAAAAAATCAATCAGACGGTAATAGACACCGGCAAGCTTTGTCAATTTCACCAACTTGTTTAAAACAGCGTTGCGCGCAAAGGTTTGTGGGTAATATGAGGGTCCAACTTGCCCCGAGTCAAGGGGGCCAACTAGCCCCGGGTGCACATTATTTATTTTAAAGGATGGTAGCCATTTATGGTGCTAGAATGAGCAACGATGATACATCTCTTTGAAACCTGAAACAATGAGCTTCAGTTTGATGCCCTATACATATCTTATATTCGATCAAAAGCCTATGAAAATAGATTTTTAAATATCTTAAACAAAATTACTTTTAGGTGCAAAAATCGTTTATTTCGACTCACCGCTTAAGTAAAACTTTTTGACGTCCGACACTTCCTTAGCATTGTAGGCTATGGTCACTTTGCAAAAGTATGTTGCCAGTTTTTTTACCTCGTAGTTACTTTTTCATAAATTGACGGGGGGCCAACTTACCCCGGGGTCCAACTAGCCCCGGTCTCCCCTAACTTATTGACCTCAGTTTCGCCATAGAAAAAATGGTCTCTACTTCTATGGTTTCACTTACAAGTACTATTTTGTGACTGGCTGAGGTTGGGGGATTCCTGTATGACGTAATTAGTAGTCTCGTTTTCGTTTTCGTGATACCCTAATACAAAATGGCCGCAACACTTGTGCTCATGCTTTTTGCGTTTTTTAAGGACTTGATGATCTGTTTCTTCATTATCGGTTTGAACTTGAAATATTTCGTCGGTGCATAGAGCGGCAAAAATGAAAAGGAAGTGAGGAAGGGAAACGGGTTGACCGGAACTTTTGTAAAATTGGATTTAAAGGTACCCTCTACCAGGGCCGCAGTTATTATTGTGGACATTTTTGCTGAATTGCTGAATCGACTGAGAGCCAAAATGACTGCCTATTTATCTATAGACATATCTGTGAATATCTGTGGAAAATCAATCTGTCGCCCTGGTAGAGGGTAATTTAAAGGTACTGAGTAGGCCCTGACTAACTTATAATCCAGGAGAGGGGAAATAATTGTCCACACAGTGTCTGGAGTAATAAAGTTATCATTATGATCAACTGCAACATAAACCCTACTGTTTTATTACGCGGGTTCTGAAAATTTACGTAGGCCTACATCTGTTTCTCACGACCACGAGTTGGCTAAAGTGCATGAAGTTGATGAAGGCTCACAGTTTGAGTTTCTTTTTTTTTTTTTTTTTATAAAAATGAAATAAAATGAGGAAAGAATTCAGTCTCGGGCTGGACAATGCCTATCAAAGCTTCAATTGGATGAAAGAGACCGCCTCACATTGCCGTTTTGCAATGCACATGTTATTGCCAAAACAACGGGTGAAATAGTTATCTGATTAACAGACGTTTTTATAGATATACATTTGATATTACTGGATACACGTCCCTCAAACTTGGATTGGTTTTAGTCCTTGTGTCTTTCTTTTTCATTAAGTAATAAAACACTCATTATGCAAATAGTTCTTTTTCAAATTATTTTCTTTCAATTAAGTAATAATGAGACTATTAAGGGTGTGGTGTATATACAAGTCATGAGGTGAATCAATGATTTATAGATGATTAAGTACGTAAATGATTACGTGTACGGTATAAGATAAAACCCAAAGTAGTACGTGACAACTGGCACTGAATCAGAAAATAACGACTAAAAATGAACATGCAATTACATCATATGTACATACATGTAATGTTTTAGCTGAAGCACTATGTTATAGAATATCAGGTCGCGACGTAATCGCGGGATGTAGATGTCACGAGATGTAGAAGTTTCTACATGTACTGCTCACGACCACGAGTTGGCTTAAGTGCACATGAAGTTGATGACCGCCTTACTTTGCTGTTTCTTTTTCAAATTATTTTCTTTCAATTAAGGATAATGGGACCATTAAGGGTGTGGTGTATATAAAAGTCATGAGGTGAATCAATGATTTATACGTGATTAAGTACGTTAATGATTACGTGTACGGTATAAGATAAAACGCAAAGTAGTACGTGACAGCTGGCACTGTATCAGAAAAAAAAGACTAAAAATGAACATGCAATTACATAATATGTACATACACTTTTTATAAACTCCGCACACTCTGCTTAAATAAAATTAGATTAGGTTGTCCGAATTGTTTTTAACAAAGTGATCAAAAGATTATGATCAAATATTGCGTCATTTCTGTTACCTCCGTCGTGAATACGCATGCCAATCGTTCCACCTGTGTACAGGACAAGAACTCTCGATTCACGCCTGTAGTTTAGATCAGTGCTCTTCACTTCCGTGTCGGTTGTCTTTAACTTCTTTGGTCTGTATGAAGGATCCATGGAGAAAGACTTCCCTTCAAAGTCGGAGGCAACAGAACAAGAACCATTGCCTGCCATTTTTTAAAATGACTGCACCGTCCACTTCACTTGCTCTTATCTTTTTGCACAATAGATACCATCAAGAGGTTCCCTATTCTGAGTAGCCCAAAATAACATTAACTACTATATCATTTTTAAATTACAGACACTTTCGACACTTTTGTTACTAAGATAAGATTTTTAAGAAAGGTTGAAGGTGGAATTAAAATTCCACTCCGACTACATTTGCAATCCACTGTGATTGAAATGGGGGCGTCTCGATAGTCCGAAGGTTCACTGGTCCGAAAAATGGCAACATGTTCATCATTTTTTAATACTGTAGTGAACATTCGGACCAATAAACCTTCGAACTATTGAACCTTCAGACTATTGTCACGGCCCCGATTGAAATGTAAGGTGTTGATATTATCTATGAAATAAGTTACCTTTATCAACCAGCGGTTCATACAAGTGGTTTTATCTATATATGAAAAAACAATAGGCATATGTCACATTAAAGTAAGATGAACAATTAATTGTCCTAAAGACACTAACCCATACACACGTACAGTTTCAACTCACCTACAACCTCTCCAATGCTAGCCAAACTTATTCTGCGCAATAGGCGACTTAGTTTTCCTTTATCGACAGCATATTGGCCGGTTGTGACTGTCACGTATGTATCATATTTACGTAAAAAGGAAGAAGCGACGTAAAAACATGCGTGCCCACATATACAACGTCGCACGCACCCACAGAGTAGTGACAAAGGACCACAAACAATGAAATAAAAAATATCTTCACGTTGATATATATATGTATGTACCGGTAACAAATATATCATGTGAACATTTTTCGCAGATAGTTGAAGGCAAGAAATCTTTTTTTGTCTCGTTTTCTTTTATTTTAATGTAACATTAAGACATAAGTGTTGGCCCACAAAATGAAAGACAACCAATGAAAATGGAATAAATAAATATTTACACGCTTCATGGTTACGTATGTATCGGTAACATATGTATCATATTTACGTAACAAAGAAGAATGAGCGACACACATATACAATGTCGCACGCAATCACAAAGTCTTGGCAACAGAGTACAATCAATGAAATTAGAATACAACAACTTCATATTTTTGGTAACATATGTATCGGTAACGTATTTTTGATATAAACAATTTCAACAAACGGTTTCAAGCCAAGTAATCTTTGCTTGCCCTGCTTTTTCTTTTTATTGTAATGTAGTATACCGTAAGAAAAAGGCGTTTGCTCACAAAACGGACAACAAACAATAAAAATTAAAGTATTTACACGCTACATGGTAACGTATGTATCGGTAACGTATGTATCATATTTACGTAAACAAAGAAGGAGCGACGTAAAAACATACGTGCGCACATATACAACGTCGCACGCACCCACAGGATAGTGACAAAGGACAACAAACAATGTAATAAAAAAAAAAAAATATATATATATATATATATATATATATCTTTTCTTTTTATTGTAATGTAGTATACCGTAAGGCGTTTGCTCACGAAACAGACAACAAACAATAAAAATAAAAGTATTTACACGCTACATGTTAACGTATGTATCGAAGTGTATATATTTATGCATCTTTGAAGATGTACATTATAGTTGTAAAATACAATCCACGAAGAAGGCCCAGGGGCCGAAAGCTCGGATTGTATTTTACAACTATAATGTAGATCTTCAAAGATGCATCAAAATATATACTTCTACCCTTACATGACAAAATGGCCGCAACACATGTGCTCATGCTTTTTGCGTTTTTTAAAGACTTGATGATCTGTTTCTTCATTATCAGTTGTGTGCAAGTTGTGGCTAAGTCTTTTGTTTAGAAAAATGACATCGCTGAACTTGAAATATTCCGTCGGTGCATAGCCGGCAAAAATGAAAACGAAGTGAGGAAGGGAAACGGGTTGACCGGAACTAGTAAAATTGGATTTAAAGGTACTTTCTACCAGGGCCGCAGTTATTATTGTGGACATTTTTGCTGAATTGCTGAATCGACTGAGAGCCAAAATGACTGCCTATTTATCTATAGACATATCTGTGAATATCTGTGGAAAATCAATCTGTCACCCTGGCAGAGGGTAATTTAAAGGTAGTCCCTGGCTAACTTATAATCCAGGAGAGAGGAAATAATTGTCCACACAGTGTCAGGAGTACTAAAGTTAACAACTGCAACATAAACCCTACTGTTTTATTACGCGGGTTCTGAAAATTTTCGTACATCTGTTTCTCACGACCACGAGTTGGCTAAAGTGCATGAAGTTGATGAAGGTTCACAGTTTGAGTTTCTTTTTTTTATAAAAATGAAATAAAATGAAGAAAGAATTCAGTCTCGTGGTGGACAATGCCTATCAAAGCTTCAATTGTATGAAAGAGACCGCCTTACTTTGCTGTTTCGCTATGCACATGTTATTGCCAAAACAACGGGTGAAATAGTTATCTGATTAACAGACGTTTTTATAGATATACATTTGATATTACTGGATACACGTTCCTCAAACTGGCATTGGTTTCAGTCCTTGTGTCTTTCTTTTTCATTAAGTAATAAAAAACTCATAATGCAAATAATTCTTTTTCAAATTATTTTCTTTCAATTAAGGATAATGAGACTATTAAGGGTGTGGTGTATATACAAGTCATGAGGTGAATCAATGATTCATAGATGATTAAGTACGTTAATGATTACGTGTACGGTATAAGATAAAAGGCAAAGTAGTTCGTGACAACTGGCACTGAATCAGAAAAAAACGACTAGAAATTAACATGCAATTACATAATATGTACATACACTTTTAATAAACTCCGCACACTCTGCTTAAATAAAATTAGATTAGGTTGTCTGAATTGTTTTTAACAAAGTGATCAAAAGATTATGATCAAATATTGCGTCATTACTGTTACCTCCACCATGAATACGCATGCCAATCGTTCCACCTGTGTACAGGACAAGGACTCTCGATTCACGCTTGTAGTTTAGATCAGTGCTCTTCAATTCTGTGTCGGTTGTCTTTAACTTCTTCGGTCTGTATGACGGATCCATGGAGAAAGATTTCTCTTCAAAGTCGGAGGCAACAGAACAAGCACCATTGCCTGCCATTTTTTAAAATGACTGCACCGTCCACTTCACATGCTCTTATCTTTTTGCACAATAGATACCATCAAGACGCTCCCTATTCTGAGTAGCCCAAAATAACATTTACTACTATATCATCAAGGCCAGAAATGCGCAGCATTCACGCGATACGCGAGGGCGCAACAGTAGGGCTTCACGTGACTCAACTAGCCAATCACAGCACAACAATGGCATCGCACACAGACTCTGTGATTAGTGCTGGAGGAGCCAAAATTGACTTCTTGGACTGGTAGTAGGGTGCCGAGGTGAAAATACTTAAAAGCTCATAACACACATATTAGAATTTCTAGATATAGTGGTTCCATCACCACAGAATTTAACCTTGAAACTTGGCCTACTACCACATTCAATATCAGGGTTGTCAGCCAAATAGGATTTGATGGCAAAATAAGCTCAGATTCAACATCTATCTCAGCCCCATCATGTGGTCCTGGAGTACGTTGCACATGACAAATCACATTCATTTCTTTACGCATTTGTTTTATAAGGTAGCTTTTGGGCAGCCCATTGTCAAGTAGTGTTAGTTCATGGTAACAAGCGTCTGACATGTGCAGAGGAGTTTATTGTAATATATATATATATTGTTCTTATTGTTACATTATTAAATCTAACTCTGTATCCAAGTAGTAACTATACTGTACCAAGTCAGGTACTGATGATGTGCAGAGTTAATATATTCCAGAATAAGCCATTACCACTAATTTATAACTTTTATTTTTGTTTAATATGTTATTCATGAAAGAGTTCATGAAAGATTATTTGAAGTTGTTAAATCGTGATCTAATTCTTTTTATATTCAAATAAATGAATAATTTGGATAAAATTGGTCTTCCACTTCTTATTTGCATTTTTCCTTTACTACAAGATTATTTTGGAACAGTTGAAGCATTAAAAATTACGATAAATAGCAATCTGAAAGAGATTAGTTAAATAGTGATATTGTCAGTCAATTTATGTAGAATCTGATAATATGATTGAAAATACTGATTGAATTCTTGGCCTTGCACTGGGCAGCTTTACATTTGTGCCAAGTGCTTTTTAGACATCATTGTACAGTGGTAAAAGTTCTTCAATTGCCATGAAAGTTTTTAATCAGACTCTGTATGGTGCTGCCATTTGCTGGTGCTATCGGCAACGAATTAGCTTGCCTTTGTTTCTGAGTGAATCTACCGTCTAAAATCACTATTTCTGACAATATTTGCGTTTTGTTGAGGGTAGGCTAGGCAATGCACGGTTAACTTCTTAGCACGTGTGTACAACAGA